AAATTTACACTGTTATACAAGCTGTACACTCACTACTTTACATTGTAGCAAAGTGTCATTTCTTCAGTGTTGTCACATGAAAAGATATAATAAAATATTTACAAAAATGTGAGGGGTGTACTCACTTCTATTATATATATATATATAATTTTATATTTTTTTATTTTTTTATTTTTTTGTTAGGCTTAATATTCTTTAAAAAAAACTTCTTCTTTTTTTTCTTCATTTTCATGTTGAAGTGAAATATGACCCAGACTGGCTTGACAGGCTTCTGCTTGACAGGCTTCATGAAATTCATGCTGTCATCTCACACAGGAGTGATAAAGCATTCACACTACTGTGCTAAACTTCACTTCTTCTCCCTCACAGATTGAAGCTGCTCAGTTCTCGGGCAACAGTATCATGTGTGGCTTCCTGCAGTACTGCGAGAAGAACAAGCCCTGGCAGAAAGTCTGGTGTGTCATTCCTCAAAAGGAAGCTCTAGTTCTCTACTTGTACGGAGCACCTCAGGTCAGTGCACTTTTTTCTTATTTCTGTTCCTGCACAGCACTTCCCTTTACTAAACAAAGATTTACTGTCCTCACAGGATGTCAAGGCCCAGTCCACGATTCCTCTGCTCGGCTACCTGGTGGAGGACAGCCCAAGACCCACCGACCCTCCCGTGAGCTTCAGACTATCTCAGTCTAAATCAGTCCACAGCTTTGCAGCAGAAAGCGAGGAACTGAAACAGCGCTGGCTCAAAGTGATCCATATGGCGGTGACAGGAGAGGTACCAAAACCGCCTGAAGACAACCATTCTACGGAAATCACCCAAGAGCCGAGCTCTAACGGCGTCTGAGCAAAGAGAGCAAACTCTTGTTGAAGATTTTAGTACTGACGTGGCAATGCTGTCGGTAAGAAAAGTGTTGACGCTCCCGCTTGCTGCGCCATCTCTGCTGGTCCAGTTGTCCTGAAGATCCATTTGGATTTGAACACATCCAGAATACGGGGCTTTAAAGCACATGGATATCAGCTTCATCCTTACCTGACAGATTTGAAGTTCACAAAGGATGCAGACGGAGCACATGTGAAGAGTACATGGAGAAACAGACATGCTATTCCATCATCACACTATACTACAGCTGACGCAGCACTGTTTTAAGCCTAATGTAAAAATTGTACAAATCAGAACATTTACATGTTGTATGTATAGTATATTGAGGCAAAAATCCAGATGTGTTGACACCATTGTAAAAAAAAAATATGATTTGTATATGCAGGACAAGATTGCAATTTACTGCAAATATAAATTGCATTCAGATGCAAAATGCTCTGCATGCAATAGAAGCTCCTTCATTATGGCCAGCAGACATGGTGTGTTATCACAGTTGTTGATCCTAGGTTGAGTTGCAGCGGTATATCATGGTATTAAAATTCACGATTGAATCTCAGCTGCGCATGCGTGACACATACAGAAGCGTGAAAGAGATCTTCACCAAACTTGTAGCGCAATGACTTGTGTCTGATAAGAAACAAAGTCTCAGCTTTCAAATTCTGTCAGTTTTATCAGGAAACCCAAATAATAAATGCTGTTTTGGCGCTCTTTAATATGTGACAGATCGTTGTATGTGTAACGTTAGTTAAAGCGGCAGCGCGCGTTCCCGATCATCTCTTCTTCTTTACTACTACGAAATAAACGTGAATGAACATCAGAAGGCATGGTGAAAGATTTAGAAAAAACTAACGTTACTTGAAATGTATTAGCTCTCATTTAATCGCCCAACCGGTGTTTTAACCGCGAAAAGAAGTCAGTGAAACAACTTGTGAATATCATGTGAGAGAACATTACATTTACCTCAGGAAATTTTGATAGTTAGCTAGACCAAAGGACCTTAACCTGTTAATAATAATTTATGCATGTTTTTATGAAAACTATCTTATGTGCAATTTAAATGTTTGTATACAATTTAGTTTTGCGTGAGTAGCCTATAGCAACTAAATTAGTCTCTGTCCTTAATTTTACTCTTTAATATTGTTTCCAATGAGAGGGTTTCCATGTTTAGCTTACAGCATTAGTTTGAAGAATTTTTACCTTAAGAAAAATTGATGTGCAGCTAAAATATATTCAAATACCGTATACCTTGACGGCAAAATATCATACCGTTGCAACCCCCCTAGGACAGTATTAACCAATCCTAACCACTAGCGGCAGTCCAGGACCACCAAGGATGCAGATCTAGGAACATGTCTCTTATGTGGAATGTAATCAAGTGAGCTTCAACGCCACCTTCTGGTTTGCAGTGCCTCAACACATCCGATATCAATCTTTTGAAAGATTTAAAAGTCTGCTGTACCTCGGATTAGTTCCCGAAACGGAACAACAGCAGTCGAGACCATGTGAATAATGTTTCACTCACAATAAGCTGTTTCACGTTTCCTCATTTAAAAGCACATTCAAATCAAACAGGAACAAAATTGTGACTTTGGTGTCAGTAGCTCAGCAGCCAACCCCCAGACTTCCATTGAATTATCAGAGATGGAGTGTGTGATTTATCAGCTCTCTAATCATGGTAATAGATCCAGTATTTAGTGGTAAAACTGGTTGTAAATCAAATTTGTGTGGTGGTTTCTGTAATGGACCTTTATTCGTAGGCAGTCAGTTGACCAATGGAGGTGGTTTTGTTCTGTTTATCTACTGTGAGCAGCACAATCACACTCAGAAGGCCCACTGGAGCAGGGACATGTATATATTCTTTAAATATTGTAATTATAATTTTATTATTTAAAAATAATTTATAGCAGAGATGCATGATTTTACATAGCACAAAATTACATTTTCAGTCTCTCAGTGTAGATTGGACCATTTATTCATCCCTTTGTATTTAAGAAATAAGCATGTTCATTTCTTTCTTTCAGACTTACATCTGCAGTCTAGAGCTGCATATTCCTAACATTAATGGGAATTCATTTGGCTTGACTTTTATTTAAAAAGAAAAGAAACCACTATTTGGTTTGATGTTTCTGGGAAACTGCCGTGTGGTAACAATAAACAATTTAAAAGCTACTTGACCTTGAAACATATCACAGCTAAGAATTGTCATATTATTGTCCTTGTCAACCAGTTGTTGATTCCAGTCCATATTTTCAGAATGGGACGTGCCTATGACTTTTATAAATGTAGTTACACATTTTTACAGGCAAACTACGGAAGCAACTAGGTCGGTATATTGAACGTGAGTTTCTGTATTAAAACATGGATGTATGCTCATTGTTGCCATTCGAAAGAATCCTTACCATGCAATCTGAATGTAGTCTGCTAGTTATCTCTCTCTCCCAGAATCTCTTGCACAGTAAAGCTACATCAGCTCTCAAAACCGAGACAGAACCTGTTTTATACGTACAAATGAAACTGAAGATAACACACTTTACTGCCTTCTATAAAGTGTACCTTGTAAAATAAAACAAGATTATTCTGCAATGGATTTGTGCCTCTGTTCTTGACTATGCAAATCAACAGAAACAAAAACTGCTTTATTTGCTCAAGCAACTGTACTTAGCATCCTGATTCATAAAAAATCACTGTCTGTTTAGAAAACCATTTATTTACGACATTAGAAAAAAGCAGCTATCCAATCTTCAGAGCAAGAAAATGTAATGTGTTGATTGATAGTAATCAAAACTGCAAAAAGCAATTATTTGCTTCCTAATACAAAAGAGTAATGTTTTGCACTATTTTGAGGGAATATACATGTATGTGAGGGTTCAGCCTTTGGCGTGATGCACTAGGCCTCGGATCCTGCGCGTCAGGGCCTGGATGAAGGTGTGACGGGAGCGGGTTTTGCTATACAGACCCTCCACCTCCAGCAGCTTCCTCTGTAATGGCTCATTGAAGCTGTTCGCCACGTCACTCTGCAACTAAACGCACAGAGAAGTGTCAAAAACAAGATTTTTTTGATATTTTTGAAAGAAGTCTCTTGTAATTTATTCCTGAGAACTGAATTTTCAACATCATTACTTCAGTCTTCAGTGTCACACAATCCTTCAGAAATCATTCTAATATATCAATCTCATATATGGTGTTCTCATTATATGGTGTTCTCATGTGCTGCCGATTATTTTTATTTTTATTTTTTTTGTGTGTGGGAACCATGATAAATTTTTTCAGGATTTTTTGATAAATACAACATTCAAAAGAACAGCATTTATGAATTGGAAATCTTCTGTACCATTATAAATGTCTTTACTGTCACATTTGATTAATTTAATGCATTCTTGCTGAATAAAAGTATTAATTTCTTTAAAAAAAGAAAGAAAGAAAGAAAGAAAGAAAGAAAAAGACCCCAAATGCTTAGCAATATAAAAAGGAAACATGGGGGGAAAAGAACATGAAGCAAAGCAAAAAAGAAAAGAGAAATGTACCTGTTCAAGATCCTGCTGGCTCACTCTTAACACACTTAAACCTCTGCTGCCACTAGGATCTACACAGAAAGCAACTAATGAGTCTCTCATGCAGTTAAAAACAACCCAAAACTGATTGAGCTTTGAAGAAGACTAGATCGAAAGACAGCTGACCTCTGTAACCTGGCAGAAGCGAGTCTTTGGGGTCAGTGGGAGTGCAGTACAGCAAGTAGAACTCTAGATGGCGCCAAATCACAAACAGGCATGTCTCGATGATATCTTCAGAGAAATGTCAAGAAAAAACATGCAACTGTTTCCAACATTCCAAGTGTCAGATTGCAATTGTCAAAAAAGGAAACAGAATAAAAAGTCAAAAGTTATTCTGAAAAGCTAACTGGATCATCTCTTGATTTCTCAGGCAGTCTTTGTGTTAGGATACAGGAGCAGAGGGCAAGAAGTTTGGCTCGATTGTTGACCAGCAGGACGAGTCGGCGCTTGCCAAGCACGTTTCTCTGCACTGATGGGATCTTTTCCACTCCACCAGAACCAGACACCAGACCCTGGCACAGCTTTGCACACAAACAGACATATTAAACATCCTAAATTTGAACATTTGAATCAAACAAGCACATTTTAGGCACTACTACATCAGCGTCTGTCTTTGCAGATATACCTCCTTCAGTTCCTCAGGGGGAAGCTGCTCCACTCGCTCCAGCTTGTTCAGGCTCTGTCTGTGGCTGTCATGATATCGGAAGAAGTCAGTGGCGCTGTTCTTCAGCAGGAGCAGAACCAATCCCAGACTGGGCACCCGTGCAGAGGGAACGGCCACATCTGTTACAACATGATCACGTAGAGAGAGAGAAAAAAAAAAGCACAGTTAGGTTACAGAAGCCAGACAGTGTTTTCTCAACACAAACAGGCGTTAGACAAACACAAAAACTGACCTGCTGGCTCACTTGCTGACGGGCTGAACAGGCAGAGAGAGAACTGGGCTTCGGCTGAGCTCTGCAGCAGTAGCGTCTGGCAGTACTCCATTATATTGGCACAAATCTGAGAAATCACAAGATACATATATCAGTGAAACAAGGCTGGAATACACTACTCAACTTCTGCTCAGATTTGTGCACTGATCTGCAGTCTAGTGGAGTTGACAGTAGTTGCCAAAAATCACTGCCTGTCTCCAAATTTTGAGCAGTCAAACTTAAGATGGTAACACCTGTTGCATGGAAACCTCCATTTCCTCTCTCTTTTCTGCAAGGTCGCCTGGTGAGACGGTCTCCTCGATCTGCTTCAGGTAGCGAGCGCGATCGGTTCCCACCAGCCGCACCAGCAGAGACAACGACTGACGCTGAAGGAGGGAGAAAGAAGAAACATCACTCATTTTGTAAACTTAATACATTAACTTACATTTACAGAATTTTCAGCTTTTAAAATGCAATTGACAGTACTGATGTCATCATAATGAACTGTGATTAGTCTGTTGTCTTTCGTTAAACCATTTATAGTGACCGAACTAGGGATGTTCATTTCGGTTATTTTTCCTAACCGACAACCGACGCTTGTTAACCGATTGTTAACCATTAACCGACAACATTATTTTAAATTAGAATTGAATTAAATTTGAAAGGATAAGTGTCTGTGACCCGTTAAAAAATGTGATTTTATGCAAATCATTTTGTTTTAGGTGGATATTGGAACGCGAGTGAAGTAGGCTACATAATAAATAATAATTTGCCATTCAAATACATCGCGAATACGGAAACATTTGATTTTGTGTGGAATGAGAGACCCAACGTTGGTTCCAGTTTCGTTTTAGACTAAATGAATTCGTTTTGGCTTGTCGTTTAAATAGCTATAGCTTCTTATATATTTAATTCTTGTTCTTTTCTAAACACCGATACCGATAATCATAAAAATGCTTAATATCGGCGCCGATAATCAGTCGACCCCTAGTGTTTATTATAATGTTTGTAAACATTTCACGTCGCCATTAGGCATTTCTGAATGAAATAAAAATGCGACTTATACGCGACTTATGTTTTTTCCCCCCCTA